CTAGGCTCCGCCGCGCCCCGCGGGGCTCATAACCTGACAAAGGACTGACGCGAGTATAGCTAGGATGTCTATGAAAGCGCAGACTCACCGGGCAGTTAGTGTTGAAGGTTGAGTAGTAGCGGGTTAGGCTGATAGCTGACGATGGTAGTCGTTCGGTGGAGAGAGAAGACTTAGATGATATTCATGGTAGCGACTGTATATATATGACAGGAGCGTGTGAAGTCACTACCGTATTCGTAACTACTGTGCAGTCCATGTCCCACGGTAATGCGGGACGGCTACGTAAGCAGAACGTGGCCCTATGCGATGAACGCGGAGCCACACGAGTGCGTAAGCGCTTAAGGTACCGCTAGGATACTAAGCGCCTGAATAGACGTATGAAGGCGATGTTTACTTGTAGACCTCTAGGAGGAACATCGCCGTATAGGAGGCTTCTGGATGAACCAATAAAGCCGTAAAGGGTCGAATACTAGACGTAAATCTGACATCTGGCAAGCGCCCATGAGCTGGCTGTTAGCCAGTGGGGTGCAGGCAGTACAGCTGAGGCAGCTCAGATGCACATCAAGGCTTTGGAGGCTCAGAAGAAGGTGCTTGGGCCTGAGCACTCTGACACTCTATCTGGAATGGCACATGTGCTGTATGCATTACACGAGCATGGCAATATCTCAGGAGCAGAGGAGATTGGGATGCAGCTATTTGCAACCAGGAAGAGGAAGCTGGGGGCAAAGCACCCTGACACACTGTCCACCATGACGGATCTGGCTTCTGTGCTGAGGGAGCAGGGGAAATGGAAGGAGAGTGAGAAGATAGAGCTTGCAGTGTATGAGACCAGAAAAAGGATCCTGGGCCCAGTGTTATGACACGCTTTTTCTTCTCTTACCTAAAGAGGTAGGACCTCTAACTTGTACGATATATCTGGAAACTGGTCTGTGCGCATTCGTATCTTTGTATATAAGGCTCGCTCTGCTCGCCCATGTAACACAAGCTAGTCCTACCTTAGGAATACTAGTCAATCTGATACCACTCTCGATACAACATATGTTGGAATTATCTGTTCGATATCGCTTGCATCATGACGTGTCGATTTATAGTATAGATTCCGAGTTTTATTTAGGTATATAATCTTGTCGTAGCTACTCGTATTATTCACGCGATTGCCCTTCGGGCACCCTCCTCTTGCCCGGGACAAACGCGCTGTGCGTCGTCGCGAGCCCGTGCGACCTCGATTTTCTACACAATCGCGTCAGGGTTAGCCACCCTTCACCACCGCTGAAGTTGCCGGGACTCGCGCCGCCACAGTCCCACGCCGTCGAGGCGTTATCGCGCGCCGGATCGTCTTATCGCGCCGCCATCACTCCCCCTCGTCGTTCGCCGCTTCCCCCTTGCTGCTCGCAAGAGCGCACGCCCGGCCGCCGCACCGTCTCTCGTGCGCCGCCGTCGCCGCTGGACCCTTGCGTAAGTCCTCTGCTGAGGCCGCTTCCCGCCGTGTGCCGCCCCTGCCGCCGCTGCTCCTCGCACGCCGCTGCTTGCCCCTGCCGCCGCGCTGCCCCTCGCCGACGTTGCCGCCGCTCTCGCGTGCCGTCGTAGACCCCGCCGATGCCGCTGCCATCCCTGCGTGCCGTCGTAGCCCCGCCATCGATGCCTCTGTCGTCGCGATCGCCCGCGTGAGGGCCGAAGAATCACGCACCTGCGCCCCCGGTCGCCGAAAACCGCCTGCCGTCGAAACCTGCCGCCGCCGCCGTCGAACCGCGCCTCTAGTCGCCGAAAACTAGCCGTCACCGCCCCGTGAAGTTGCTGTCGCCCGTCGTTGTCGCCCCGCCGCTGCGTGCTGTTGTGCCGCTGTTGTCCTATCCCTCGCCGTTCGCCCGCATTCGCGCCCTGCGCCCTCAAAAGCGGAGATTGGGTTCTTCAAGTCGTTTGTTGCTGGATTTCGTAGGATTGGGAACCCTCTCGAGTTTGAGGGGGTGCGTTGTATGTTTTATTTCGTTGTTTTTCGCTCGTTTTTCGCTGTTTCGTCCCGTCGTCGTCGTTGCTCGTTCGTTTTGCCTTGCATCGTGTTACCTTTGTCGTCGTCTGCTCGTTTTTCACTTCGTCGTCGTCGCCCGTTTTTGTTACGTTACATTTGTTCGCTTGTATCGAACAAGGGGGTGTGTTGGAATTATCTGTTCGATATCGCTTGCATCATGACGTGTCGATTTATAGTATAGATTCCGAGTTTTATTTAGGTATATAATCTTGTCGTAGCTACTCGTATTATTCACGCGATTGCCCTTCGGGCACCCTCCTCTTGCCCGGGACAAACGCGCTGTGCGTCGTCGCGAGCCCGTGCGACCTCGATTTTCTACAACATAGTACACGATCTAAGACAACCACTAAGACTAAGAACCTCATCGTCGCTGACGACTTATTAAGAACCCGTCGACATCGTCCTCTTCGACGACCACGAACCTTTGATATCGTCAACTACGGTGACGACTAACATTCCACATAAGGTCAAGACGCAGTCTTAACACCCAGCACACTATGACACCGCCTGGAGCATGGTGAAGATTGCCTGGGGATATGTGGAGCAGGGCAGATTCAGAGAGGCCGAGGAGCTGCAGCAGCAGATATATGATCTAGCCGAGAGTGTCCTGGGCCCAGAGCACCCTGATACCCTGTCTATCATGGCAGATATTGGGGCTAGGATGGCAAAGGAGGGCAAATATGCAGATGCAGAGAGGATGCAGAGGAAGATCATCGACATGTTCACAAAGATTTTGGGTCCGGATCACCCGGTGGTCATTCTCAGAATGGGAGACTTGGCATCCACACTCCTATCTGCTGGGATGCTCACGGAGGCTGAAACTCTAAGCAGGCATGTGATGGAGTACAGACAGAAGCAGCTGGGGCTCGAGCATCCTCAGACTCTGGCTAGCATAAATAACTTGGCATCTGTGTTGCTCGAAGCGGGAAAACTCACGGAGGCTGAGGAGCTGCAGCTGCAAGTTGCAGAGATTGGCCCGAGGGTGCTATCACCTCGAAGCAGGGACCTGTTAACCCACATCAACAATCTCGCCTCTACCTATCTAGCCCAGCAGAAACTAGATGAGGCAGAGAAACTGCACTCCGAGGCACTCGAGAAGTGCAAGAAGGCATTCGGGTCGGAGAACACCTTACACCCCGCGGTTCTGATCCACATGAACAACTTGGCATTTGTATGGAGCAAGCAGGGCAAGCACGAAGACGCCGTGAGGATGCAGCTCGATGTGCTGAAACAAAGGCAGCGTGCCCTGGGCCTCGACAACCCGCTGACTCTCGTCAGCATCAACAACCTGTCTCAGACGCTGTACAACAAGGGCGACTACATCAGAGCAGAAGTGATGCAGGTCAAGTTGCTGGTGGACTCCAAGAAGATCATCGGCCCGGAGCACTACGATACGCTGCAGCGCATGCACAACCTCGCGCGGACCAAGAAAGCGCTCGGACAGGTAGACTCTGCAGTCACGCTCATGACTGAGACCGTCGAGCTGAAGACGAAAGCGCTCGGACTGGGCCAGTCGTCCACCCGGGCCTCGGCCGACACTCTGGCGTCATGGAAGGACGAGTAGATGCTGTACCGTTGTCGGAACTTTCTCACGAGCATCGCTAAGCTTTAGAAACCATTAGAATGCTGTTGAGCATTTAATTGGATCAAAATGAAAGGCACTTATGATCGCAAAGCTTTTCCATCGGCAAGGGTGCGCATGCCAATGAGCCGGACCAATCATAGAGATGGCATAGACATGTGATCGCAATGAGGCATGGGATGACGCCATGGCGATGCATTGTGATCGATCAGAATCCCATAGCCATGCTCACGCGAGCGCGTCAAGAACGCCCCATTGTAAAGGGATCGCAATGATCCGAAATACATCCCAAAATGGTTAGCCGTCTTTCCGACGGTGGTTACGCGGCTACAATTTTATTAGTACCGTACTATTGCTTTTACTTACCGATTATTAGTCTTACTTACTTATCTTACTTTCTTACGTTACTTACTTACGTTGCTTACTTGGATCATCATATTTGTTATACACTTGCACCAGTAGCTACTTATTAATCATTATTAGTTGGCACACCCTGGAATCGAACACTCGCACTCTAAGAATAATACACTTGAAAGTACTAACAAGCATAGTTCCCGCTAGGCCATGATGGCTCTTATTAGCAGTGTTACCTAGTTCCCTATATACTGATTGACGCGGAACTTATACCAATCTTTTATAAGCTACTCAATCGCTTTCGTGACGTTGCTCTGAATGCAGAGGCGCGTATAATCACTCGATCTCATGCAAGGGTGTAGGATAGCCGCGAGAGTAGAATAGAAGCTGTATACTAAGTACAAGACTCAATATACACGAGTTATAGAATGAGCATAATACAATGTGGACTACTCTTAGGTGCCCCTGTTGCGTTTAGCACTACCAGCGCTGCGTTTCACCTTTGATGACGACTCCTGGTCCTCATCCTGGGCTGCCCGGGCCGTTTGACGGGTTCTGCGGGCCGGTTTCGTGGCGAGAACGTCAACTTGAGCTGGTACGGGCGTGGGCGCTTTCTCGAGGGGTGCCGCTGAGGCGGAGCTCAAAGGCTCCTGCCCGAGCGGGGTAGACGGAGCGGGGGACGCACGGACCGACCGAGCGCGAGCGCCAGAGACCACAGGCGCAGCGTCGACCGCTCCATTTGCGTCTGAGATCGACAGCTGATTGATCTGCTGCTGGAGAGCAGCAGAATCAGCGCTATCTGTCGCATTAGAGGGCTCGGGCTCAGATGAGGCGATACGAGCCTGGATCTTGTCGAAAAGGGAGTTAGCGCGGTCGATGGGATCACGAGGCGTTGTGCGAGTGGCTGTCTTCGCCGAGCCGGATTTGGGGAAGAGGATGGAGTCCCAGAAAGCGAGGAGCTTGTCGGTCCAATCGGGGTTTCTGTTCAACACAGCAAGATACTCGTCGAAACGAGCTTCCCAGTTGATATGCGTAGACTTTCCCGTAGCGTTAAAGTCGGTATCTGCAGTGAGTCGGTGAATCACCTGGAAATCGGATGAGTTAACAAGTCGACAGGCAAGTGCTAATTATACGTACCAGGACCGCCAAGGCACAGATAAGACCAGGTGTGGTCCCTTTCATCTTCCACCTGATCGCTCTCGGTCTCGGACCGCCAGAGCCACCGCGTCCAGTCAAAGAAGACTGCCCGAATAGAGCGCCTTTAGCAGCCTGTAGTATAGAGTAGACATGAGAGCGGTATCGTTAGGACATAGAATATAACTTACATTGATCAATGCTTGCTGCCGAAAGAGCTCATCGCCGTCAGGGAGACTTGGATCCTGGAAAAGAATCCTCGGAAAGGTGGGGACAACGTCCACCTCCTCGTCCTTGTCCTCGTTGTCGGCGCTCTCGCTGCTGGCGCTCCCCTCGTCGGGTGCGAAAGGGTCCTCGAGGAGCCATTTGACCATGGGGTCCTTCGGGAGATTCTCAGCGGTCGAGAGTCCGCGCTCGCTGATGCCGAGTCCGGTGTAGATACGTGGGTACTGTGACTTGATGGCGTTGACGAAGATACCGATCTCGGACCTCGCGCCTTCGAGAAACTACAAGCATGTAGTAGCATTAGTATGAATGAAACCAGGGAGAGATAATAAAGAAAAGTACCTTCGACTGGAAACTCGAATAGCTGGAGACGGCCTTACGAAGCTCAGGAGACAGGAATTTGACAAATTCAGTAACAAGACAACGACGCCGTTTCTCTGCGTCCTTGAACCGAGACGGATGGCGAGGATCAAGCGGCTCGACACCACGAAGTGGGAAGAGATAGTCGGGAGGGATTATACGAAACAAATAAACGAACTGTCGCCCGGCGTCTTTGACTTTGGTTTCGATGGACGTGGGCTTCTTCTTCGACTTGGCCAGGGCAAGCTCGTCCTCTAGCTCCTTAATACGGCGACGAAGCTCCAAGATCGTCGAATGACCTTTGGTGCATTGACCTTGCGCGTATTTCAAGCCCTGAAACGCTAAGTAAGATAGATGGAATGTGGCGAGAGAACTTACCGAACGTAGTTGAGGCACAGGTGCTGTGTCGGCGTCCACAGACATGACTCGGGTTTGCGCCATGGTTTCCTCCGTCGTTTCCTGGTTCCTGTTGTCGGCAGCATCGCCGTCGCCATTGGCATCCTCCTCCTCGTCAGATTTCTCCTCGGAGGAAGAGCTCGACTCGATGTCGCGCATTGCAGCGGCGAAGTCTTCGACTACAGCATTCGAATCAGACATGATGGTATGGGAATGAGGAGGGAGGAGCCACGGACGTACCATAGAAATACGAGATGGGACCTTACGCGGATGAAAAGGCTGGTTCCAGCGTGGAGGAGGCAAGGTGGCATGTAGGACGCGTGAAGCAAGAGCGAAGCTGCACAGTCACTGCCATGCAGCCTCGTGTCTGATCGATCTCGTCACTAGATCTGTGTGCACGGTGAAAATCGATGAGTAGATCTCGAGCAATGAGGAGAAACTGAGCATGACTCACTTATAATGCCGCCTAACGTCGTAAAAAAGGCGCATGTCTGAAGCATGATAGTCAGCATTGAATGGGTTCGAAACCTCGAGGCATTCATATAAGCTCACCTTGTGTAAGTGACAGAGACGGGGTTGTGGGCACCAAAAAAATGCGATGCGAGTGTTCGATGTTCGTGTGATGGCCTGCGTGAGTTCCTAGAGCCGTGGATAGTCTGCAAATAAACTTACCGAGTCTATGGTAATGTTCGTGGGATGCCACCCTGGTGCCGAGCATCAGAGCCTCGTTGACGCTGCGGAGACCCTGAATTTCGTTCCCTGCTAAAGGTGGGCCTAGGGGTGCTGTGTGTTCACTTATAGACGGTTGGCGTTGTTGCGGCAAGGCAGCCGCATCGGAGGAGCTCAAGCGAGTTGAAGTCCAGACGAGCGGATGAGGAAGAATGGGGCGAGCGCTGAAAATATGACGTCAGCAGTAAAAATCGCAAAAGGTCAGTATATGAACTTGTACTTACAGGCCATGGTACACCGTAGGGCAATTCCTACGCGTACTGGGTGTAATCGAGGGGAGGGATAGTCGTAAGCGGAGGAGGTTTTCATAAAGTTAGGGCTGCAGGGGTGCTCGAATGGAGTGGCGACGTTTATAGTGAGGCGCCAAGAAAATCGTGTCGGTGTGGCAGTTAGTTGTTCGCAAAGGAGACAAGGCCTAATAAATGAGACTAGGAACTGGGACTTGAATGAAGCAACGATCATTAATCTGTTATCCAGAAAAAGTAGCGAACCTACTTTGATCGACATAAGTTAGAGAAACACTGCAGGAATAATGGATCTGTTTGCGGGTCAATACAGCATGTTTGAGCAGTTAGAATGGTGGACACATACCACGGTGACGTTAGAACTTTCATCGAGGAAGACCGATATATAATTAAATGAGAACTCACCGAAACGTTCGTCCTACTGTAGCCCGATCCACTTGAGGTCCTTCATTCGAAGGAACATGTCTCCGTCAATGTAGTCGTTGACGAGGAACTCGTCGGGTCGACGGAAGTCTGGGAATAGGAGGGCGCCTCGGATGATGGATGCGACGGGGATGACAATGGCCTCGGAGCGAGGTTGCGCCTTAACTCGAAGGAAACCGAGCTCGGTGTCCGTGCGGCGAGTGCGAGAGCCTTTATCGGAGTCAACCACGCCGGTGTACGGCTGCACGAGGACGGCATGGAAAGGGGAACAGTTTGCGCCGAGCTCGGGGATGGTGAACTTGAATGGGAAAACCAAGCGGACGATCCCAAAGACGTCGGGATCTGCATCGAGGTGAACGATTGCGCAATCGTACCGCGGTTTGTCGTAGAAGCTGGGGGTGCACCGGAGGAGATCCGTGCACATTTTCCAAGTCTCTACCGACTCGTAGTTTACCTTTACAAAGCGAAACCCCTGAACCTATATAATAAAACAACGAGTATATGTTATTAGTGCGCATGCTAATAGAAATACAAGTGAACATACCACAAAGCCGTCGCGAACCTTGATGCACGGCCCAGCGTAACCGCGATCCGGAAGGCAGACTTCATTAATGAACACCTTGAGAGACTTACGAAAATTAATGAATGCTCGATCCGAGGAGCGATGTGAGTCGACGAGGTCCTTGACGGTTTGAGGACTGGATGGCGAACCGAGGTGGAAATGGCCCTCGAATTCGGGACCGATCCAGTCGTCGTGATGGTCAGATACTGATGTGCGAGCCTTCAGTCGCTTTTCTTGAGCTTGAATCCGTTCCTCGATTATGTATACAGCGAGTCGATGGTCTTCAATCCTGAGGATCTGTTATCAAAATAAGAAAAAGGAGACAGTGAGATCAGTAATGGCATCTCCGAGAAGTGTACTAGACATGAGTACCTGCTTTTCGACCTTCTTACCACTACACCGAAGATAATATGATCTCTTGAAGGGAGGATGAATTCCTTCATTGATCCTCGTCGTCGAGTTGCGGCTGACACCCTTCTTCCGAAGATCCTCGACTGCGTGTTTGAGGACCGCGTGATTCTTCGGGAAATCCCATAGGATCTTGATGTCTTCAATCCGCACCCTCGCAGCCTTCGCAACCTCTATATATACCTGTAAAATACATCATGAACTCATAATGAATTAAGCACCGGGATCAGAATTAACTCACATCTAGCTGTTTTCCATAGCGCTCCACCTCCTTGTCGAGAGCCTCCAGTGTCTCGTCCGTTTGGACTTCGAGTCCGAAGTATGAGTCTATCTCGAGGTAGTTACTAAGTACGCAAAGCAGCACATGGAACTCGGGAGATTGTGTCCGTTTGATGACATTGTGCGCAGCAAATAGCATTTGCTATAGCACCTTGAGCACTGACAGATGCAAGACTTGTGACAATGACTCACCCGTGAAATATCCCTGAATTTATTCCCGTCGCTGAAATTGACGGTGCTGACCGCGTTGAAATGGGCAAGGCCACGCCAGCTCGGAAGTTGGGAGAACCTGCATATGCTGTATATCACCAGGCAGAGCGAGGAGCTTTTGAGAAACTTACTGTTTGTCCAGCTTCCCAAGGTACTCGCGGCTGTTCTCGAAGCTCGCGAGGATCTTGATGAGCTCGGGCTGGATGTGCTTTCCGTATAAACCGTGATGGAAAGCGTGGAGATGGTCGACTGTGACCGCATCAGCCGGGTCAGAGCTTCGAAGAAGCCAGAAAGCATTCTGATATAACAATGTTAGTAAAATAAAAGCCTGAGTGTGAAACGTCGGTTACATACTTCGACAGGCCTCCAGCCCTCGTTTTGGAGCTGGGTCCTGGCCTTCTTCTTCTTAGCTCGATCGCCGGACTTGATGTCGGCGTAGAGAGATTCGGCAACCCCGGCAGAGCGCCGAGGGTAGCTCTCCGCCCACCTACTTTGGCGATCGGACGGTACCAAGCAGACGGGGCATGGAAAATTACCCATTGCTCCCCGGATCAGAGCCATGACACATCTGCAATGTCAGAAATGCCAGAGATAAAATATATTACGACTTACTGTTCCTCATAGTCGGCAGATAAAATAAGAATGACAAGAAACAACCATCGAGGGATCCCATCGAAGCAGTCAGAAAAATAATAGCCGGTGTGCGAGTAATGTTGAGCTCCTTCGAATAGTTTGGCCACCGATTTGTGCCATACAACACGCTTCAGTGTTGTGTAACTCAGGGTTCCATCCTTCTCTGCGTCGCCTGGCAGCTGGTGAGCGAGGTTGGTGTCAGCAAATTGCATGATCGCGTGAGTGAAACATAGCCAAGAGAAACTTACAAGCGGTAGCCATCCCACAACTCGGCCACCTCCAACACCTCGCCCGTTTCGGATGTCGACAGGAAGGTTGGCGCATCTAGCGACAATTGGATACCCTTGTACGTTGCCAGCGCTAGACAGTCGGGTTTTGTCAGCGTAGAAAACATATGCGAGGGGTACCGATGGAGCGTCTGGGTATTGAGGCAGCGAGTCCTACTCGCAGTGCGATGGTCAGCTTAATAATGTACGATTTCAACGACCGAACTAACCTGAATATCCCACCACCGATCGGCGGTCCAAGGTTCGTCGATGAACCTCACGTAATTGCTCTCGGGGCCAAGTCTTCCGTTATGTTTATAAACGCGTTGAGCATCCCACACAAAGTGGGGAGCAAGCTGTTCGTTATGAAGGAGGTCGAGACTCCAGTCCCATAGATCTCGCCCCATGAAGTTGAGTTCAATTTCGTCCTTCTTATGTTCGAGATTGATAGGGTGCTCCTGAAACTAATACAGAGTTATGCAGATAGTATATACATGGTATCTTACAGCGATACATCTAAGGGACTTACAGGCGTAAACTCTTTCGCCGCCTCGTCACAAACCTTCCGAAGATCCTGAGAGTTAGTAAATGTGACGTCCTTCCTCTTTTCTACCACATCTCGCATGAGGGAAAGGATCCGGTTGACGACTGAATCCGAGAGATTGGCGTCCAGGGCGATCGACGCGAACTCGCTATCGCCTCGAGATCGAAACGGAAACCAGGGCTTGACGTCCTCTTTGGCCTCGGGTACATACGACCGGGAGCGGAACGTGTCGTAGGAGTCGTAGCTCGTGGTCTCCGCCCGTCGGCCCTTGGGCTGGTACTCGGTCTTGAACTCCATAGGGCTACCACGCGATCGCGTCGACGAGAAATTCACCGACACAGGGGGCGGTGATACACGACCAAAATCTGCCATCGACGAACTTTCGTTCGAGTTCGAGTGCGAATCCGAACCTGGGCAAATGTTAAATTAGCGCCATAATTAGATGAGAAAGAAGAAAACGCTTACGCGACCGCAGTCCGTCTGAGAAGTGATTATCCATAGTCTCGAGTGGCGGATCGTCGAGTGGCTGGTCGTCGAGGGGCTCATCGCCGAGAGGCTGATTTTCGAGGACCTTGAAGCCTGGGTCCGTCAACGTGATCTCCATATATTGAGTGTACGGGTCCACGGCTACTGTTTCGTGATCTGCGATAAGAGTAAAGCTTCAATTGATAGCACAAATACGACTCACTTGTGTCAGAGGGCTCTTCGAGGGTCGGCCCGCGAAACGAAGAGGCGACCTCGGCAATCGCGGATAGCTCACGATGTGTTCGTTGTTTCGCTAGGAACAGTATCGTAAAAGTAAACACAAGAATATCAATGATAACGACGCACCTTTTGCCTCCTTCTTGGAACACCGCTTCTCGTACGCCTCACTCGCTTCCAACTCATCATGACGTCGTTTACACGCGTTGAGATGGGTGGCCTGAGCTCCCCGAGCTTTTGCATCGAAAAGCTTCGGGCAGTACTGGCACTTAACCTTGCTGGCGCTCGGGCCCGGGTCCGGGCTCTCAGGAGCAGGTCGCTTGGCTCGGCGCACTGCAGTCATCTGTCCAAAGCGACGTTTCGGACGGGATAAAGTACTGTTTCAAGTATGCAGGATTAGTGAACTGTGCACTGAGGCTCGAATGATATCACTTACAAGCTGGGCTAGTGAATGCAACCTAAGTGGTGAGTTTCCTCGCAGGTAGAGGAAGGCAGAGGCGACGCGTCTGAGGTGTGGGATGAGAGTAGAGAAATGGATCGGGAAGAGAAGTTGAGGGCGAGGGAAGAATGCGGATCAGGAGATGCCTGATGAGTGAAGAATTGGCGGGTAAAAGGTGGGAAGGAAGCCTTTCTTTGATGGTGGGTACGATCTTGTGAGCGCGGAGCTGATGGTGTACTTACAGGTGGATACTGGCAGACTTATGGAATATCTTACACGTCCAACACGCCCATTGCGCGCTGCCATCACAGCGTTCAAACGTTCAGGCCTCAGGGCGGTGGCATGTCATCGAGCCTAATGGGGATGGGCCTTAGGAATGACATTCTGGTCTATTCTGATGGTCCGCCGGCACCACTCGGATGGGCCTCGATCCGATCTCCACGAGTTCGGCGCCGTGTCCATGGGCCTCGATTTCATTGTGATCGATTGGGATGCGAGCCTCGGCTTAGTCATCCCGAAAGCCCCATTCCAATCTATTCCAATTCCCACAGACGTCATGGCGATGTATATTCTAATCACATCATAAAATTATTTGTAGCGATTTTAAAGCGGATCCATTACAATGCCCCTAAGACAAGTTCCGACAGTATGCGTGAGGTTGCGGTTGTATGTAGGTCTATCTTGTAAGATATGGGGATGTAGCATGTACGAATATTAGTGCCAATCAGAATATAGCGATGCACGGTAACCAAACGTAGCTGAGTATAATAAACACGATGATGGTCCGAAGTAGACGAGAACGATTACGAATAATACCAAGGTCAGTAAGATAACAATACTTTAACCAGACAACGATAGCGTATCGATATAGACGGGTAGCTTAGACGTTTAGGTATGGCCACCATGTTGCCTGTTCAGTAACGGGGACCATATTAGTCACGAACATGTTTGGGCGCGAGCGGTACTCACGTGTGGTCTTGAGGTATCGTAGTGTGGTTCTGGGGCGCCGACGGGTATTGCTGGGGCACCGACGCAGCATGTTGAGGCGCCGTATTGTAATTCTGAGGTGCCAGCGTCTGATGTTGCGCTACCGACGGGTGACTCTGAGGGCCCGGCGGTGGATGATGAGCCGATGACGCATATTGCTGGGAGACAACCGACTCAGTCTGTGTAGACGAGCCGGGATGTTGGTGACTCTGAGGCTGGGGCGACGTAGGGTTACTATTAGACGACGCGCGTCGGTCCCTGCGATCAGCCGCGTCAGCGGTGCATATATGCACGAATAAGAACAATGGTCACTCACGCAGTCGCGTTCCCGAGCATCTCCTCGAACCGGAGGCGAAGGTCGTTGATGCGTACGTTGATGAGCATCGGGTCACCGCCCGGGCGGTGCGCGTCGAGGTCGAGCGCTGTGCACTCGCGCACGAACTGCTCGAGGTCGCGCACGCGCTCGACCGAGACCTCGGGCTCACCGGACCCACGGGCGCGGGCGAGGTAGGATGCGACGAGGGTTGAGATGCCGCCTGCATGTAGGTCCGTGTCCGTGTTAATGTCCGAGTGGTAATGCACGAGGCGGGAGTTTGACGTGGAGGTAGGTGGAAGGACGAGCAGAGAAAAGACGTGACGTTAATATATACGACGCATATATGCAACATATAGCAGAGAAACGTACCGAGGGTGGCAGTCATGATGGACGTCTGCAGAGGAAAAACAACCATCGCAAAGTTGGTATCTTCGGACCGTGCGCGGACAGATCATCGCGATGGCGCACCTGTCTTCCAGTCGTTGCCACCGAGAGCGCCGTCGTGAGAGCACCGAGGAGGACCTGCAGTCCGATGGCGAAGTTGAGTGCGTAGGCGGTGAGCTTTGCTGGTGAGGTGCAGCGCATATAGTCAGTGATTGTCGAAGCTTATTATGAAAGGGAAAAATCGAGCTTATGGGCTCACCTTTCAGTTCGCACTTGCGTTTTTCGGCTAATGCCGCGATAAGTAGGAGTTGTATGCGCTTATCTTGGGCTGCCATGAGCTGTATGGCGCGAATGAGTGTTTTGTGAATTTAAGTGATACTGAAAACGCACTGCAGCTCGATCCTCTCTCGAAATGACACTGTCGCGAGCTCGCGACGCATATCTCTTCGCCTTGCCGCTAACTGCTGAAAAGCGTCTTGAATGTGGGATGTGTCCTAGGTCGTCTTCTTCATAGTCCTCGCGCACAGCAGCGGGAGGCAGCTCGATACTGACACCCGTGTTCCGTCGCTCGATGTTGTAGGGATGTCCGTACCCATCGCGTGTGCCGTTGAAAGAATGACCTGAGCCTCGTCGGACAGCCTGAGGAGCCCCGCCGTGCATCGAGACGCGCCGCGAGGGACCGTTGGGCGAGAAAGACGGACCAAGACCGCCGTTTGTCATGCTGTGTTCACGCTCGCGGGTTGCTGCTGGTGGTCCAGACATGATGGAGATGTGGCCGTTGGTGGTGGTTCGAGCTCGAAGGCGAGGCCGTGGAAGTGGAACGGGGTCATAGGAAGCAGCAGCAGCAGCAGATGCATCGTTTACGTCAGGGTGATCGTATTGGGTGGGAGACGCCGTGAGTGGAGGACGAGTGGTATCGGCTGGCCGGCGGTCGAGAGACGTGGCGGAGACTTGCAGGCGACCAGTGGCATCGCGTTGATTCTGCTCTGGAATACTGGGAATGGGGGACGCTGATCCTCCACGAGCCCAGATGGCGGGTGTGCCCACGCGAGGATGGGGTGGCGGAGTCGAGCTGGAATGCGTCTGTGAAGAGAGATCTGCCCGGTTCCCGGTGGATGTTGAGAACGTTGAGTGTCGATGCTCAATTTGGCTGTGACGTTGTTCTGGGCTAGAGAGGACTGGAGGTGTGAGGACCTGGACGTCACTGCCGAGTGAACCCTGAGCAGGAGGTTGGCTTATCGAGATTCGACGTTGACGTTGATGGGATTCAGGCAGCTGGGCTTGCGGAGGTTGTACAGCGTCTTGGCTAACATGCTGTTGTGGCGGGACGACAGTCAACGTTGGTGAAGCGTGGTCACTGTCGTCTAAAGGTGGAAGCGGAGGCAGTTCGCGGTTCTCCCCGTTGTGCGCCATGGTCTAGGAGCAGAGTCGGAGGTGTCGAGAGCGGAAAGCGCGCAGACAAAAAGTTTGGAATGTAGGATTTCGGCATGGCGTGGAAGAGGGGAGAGAGTCTTATCGAGGGGGGGCAACAAGGAATGCGACGGTCTCATGGTCACTTCGGGCATGCCCGCACAGGCCCGCACCAGGCCGCACCATTGACATCCAGGCACCGCGTGTCAACTTGCGGCAGGAAACGCCAACAGACGCCTACAACGTGATCGCGTCTTCTGTTCGGCTCGGGTCCATCGGCATCTTTCTTTACTTGCTCCCTTACTACTCCAGCTACTTTCCATGTAAACTTGGGAACGAGCATACGGAGCCCTCGCTCCCGAATGACCATGCGCAGCCAATGCCTGGCGCCCATTCATGCAAGCCGATTCGGCCGCCGCCTCATTGGAAGTGCATCGCCTGTTGGAAGAGAACGTGAAGATGACCATTGGGTGCGCCTCCAATGCTTATCCATGAAGGACGCAATCAGTATCGAATCAAATCTCAATCTACCTTGGCAGCTCGTGTAATACTGATCTGGTTAGACTGGTTAGAATGTGAGGAACGTGCTGTCTCCCGCGAAACTGTTGCAGTTACAGTTGTGACAGCCGAGGCTAAGTATCTCCTAGTGTCGTCCCTGGATGATCAATCTATCCACTTCTCGTTAACGCAGGTTCAAACGAGCGCTTTGCTCTTATGAACTTTTCTCCGCTAGCCAGGTGGGTCCTCAATCTGTCGGCGCTCGTACGATAGCATCCCTGATGGCTCCCACCGTACGCTCAATCCGGAGTGGTTCCGTGAACCTTCGCTCTGCAAGATCTGATGCCGGGCGGAGTCTTCGTCGTCTCGGGCGTCAGAGAGCTTAACTCACGTACCACAGGATATCATACATCGCATATCACCATTTAAGGATACCTCTGCCAGATCCTGGAACAAGGGAGATAGGGCCCTTGTCACCGAATGTCCTGTTGAGCTTCCACAGGCCGGTCGTGTCCAAAGTCCGAGCGCGCAATGATTCTCGAACAAGTCCCAGAGCGCTAACGGGCCCAGGACTCTCGAATCGTTTCCGATGCTTTCGTCAGGTGTATGCCGCGGCAGGCGGACGAAGTTTCATATGCTTGATGTTCGGTACTCTTCCCTTCTCGAATAAGGTATGGAAAGAAACTCACTGATCACCTGAAGAGGAGACGTTCTTCGAGAGTCGAGACGCGAGGATCTCTTTTTGCATCCGTATCTGGAGCGTCTATACTGTTCTGATGAATTTAGTCATAGTGGGGAGCCAATCACCGTCTTACCAGTATCTCGCGCACAAATCGGCATTGGTGAAAGCGATCGCGAGGTGCTTGAATTTGGAGGCGACGGACCGTGTGGTCGCCATGAACCTCTCGATTGATGGTAGTATTAGGATTTTACCACAGCGCACCCCATTCATCTATACACCTATTTTATTCTGATGTTTTATTGAGTGTGCACACACACCCGCATAATTCCAGTAAACTACTGATCTGACACGCCTTCTCGCCTCGGACATCTAGGTATGCACCGTACTCTACAAAAAAAAAGACTCAACAAAGACTCAACAAATCATACAAGAGAATCATTTCCAGGTTGTTGGGTTTCCGCTTCAATTTTCTCATGTTCTGCCTCTGCATTACCTGGCCCGGCGCCTCGGTTATTAGCGTTCCCTTGTCGAATTTTAATGTGGCCATCATTCTCTTGCTGCTCCATAGGCTCTCCCTTTTGAGCTTCCATCTTTTTATGGTCTTTCCAGTACTTAACTGTTGTCCACGGGGGGAGATCCCAGATGATCAACGTCACCCATCCTATCAGCCCAATTGTCACCGCTCCTGCAAAGGACACGACGATTCTCGTTACCACTCCAGTAATTTGGAAGGCAAGCGCAGAAAATGCAGCAGCAAAGAAGATCATCCTGTCTAGCGTAAGTGAAAATGGAACTTGAGGCAGCAGCACGAACATACCCCCAAACTACATAGGCAGCCATAGGGAAGACTATATATTACTGCCAGAGTTTCGATGCCGTACGGTTTGTCGACCATTCTACTGAAAAAGGAGAGCCTGATCATCGATGGTGTCAGCGCCTAGGTTTATCATAATTTTTTTTTATACTTACAGCGTCGTCTATAGACTTTGGCGGGTGCTGACGGAATAGGATCAAACCAAGAACTACCGATCCCATGCTTGCGACGGTTGACACATAGCTCAAAATCTGCGCCACAGTCTGAGGGTGCATATTTGAGTCTGTCGCCGGTGGGCTAACATAGATCAGTGCCAAAAAAACGATGTTGGCGTTGAGCACAACGGTAGACTGGATACGTGCTTTTAGTCAGACGAAACAAGCCAGGTTGAGGACTAAGAAGAGTAAGAAGCATACGTATAAAGTGTATCCTTTCAGCTCGTCGTTGAGCTTGTCTATGAACTTCTTAAGCGGGACACGATTGATCAGATGATCAACCGAAACTCTTTTGAACGCGTTCATGTATGTCATTGGCGCATTGAACGTGATCGGAGCGAATATCTTGAGAAACAGAGTTCGCTGTGTTTGATCATAGTAAACGCTTTGCTTTGCGTTCAAGCGAGCACCCTGCTGCCCATAGAAATCGCGAAAACGAGCGTGCGCTATTTCGGGGTATGAGCTCAAAACATCACGATAACTCTGGTGCGGCGACACACCAAAGTCGTGCATAAAACGTGCTATCAATGCAACATATTCATATAAGTATGTTCGCAAACTTTGATAAAGGTTCCGCGCACCAATGATCCAAACAGTATGCTCCCGCGTTTCACCTACGATACCTGTCGTTGTTGTACTTTGTGAGGATGTAAACACTCGTGGGAAGGTAATGACGTACGATCTTTGTGTTGGAACATCCCCGAGACCGGGATGAGTTCATCGGCGTCAAATGGTACAAGTGACTCGGGAGAGGTTACGCCATCTGGGGAGAATTGTAAGCGTTCATATAGTCATAAAAAGATTATTTTGGATCACCTGTGATTCCGTAGTAAACAAGTTCCGTGAACTCGTCAAAGACGGCTTCGGTCACAGGCCTGTAGTTGGGAAACAGCCCGCAGTGGCGCCTGGGGTCGTGAGCAATGTCTTTTTCTCATCTTCTTTTTCTTCAAGACCATGAGAGTACGCACCAGTAGAAAGACTCAATGCGTCGTCCTGTGATCAACCTCAGAGCGTGACGTTTCATATCAAACGAAGAAGCTTACCTATGTGGCTTATTTTTTTTACACCTTTCACCCTACCGACAATTGGTGCCTTGAAATCTTCGATCCAGAAGATAGACCGGTTAGTATGAGACACAAAGTAATATCCACACTGCACGCTGATCGCATCCTTGATAGCGTATGCCATTCTTCGCTTCGACGACCCCCTACGGTCCAATTTGGGGATTTTCGCAGGTTCTTCATGTTCCATTTCCGAATCGACGTCGTCGTATTGTTGCAGTGAATATATGTCAGGATCATCATCTTCTCCCTCATCCTCTTCCGAGTCATCTCTCACTTCCTCTTCTGTTAGGATCCATCCGCTCTCGGGCTTGCCTAGCTCCAAAACGATCTCCGTGTCTTCCGGTAGTGTCTTTCCTTCGTCCTTAACCTTTTTCCTCAAGCCTTTGACACTCGCCGTAGCGACTTTAAGGTTGTCAGGTTTGAGAAGATCGGCATCGGTCAGAGCTCTCTGGTATTGAAAGGCAATAAATTAGGTATGAGACCATGCTCGTACATTTTACTCGCCTGTTGTGGATGAAGAAAGTAAACTGCACCCTCTGGGTGTATGCATTTGAACCATCCATCACGCATGTATCGCTCATGCTTTGTCCCCGCACTAAATAAGAGAAGTGAAAGCCAAGCGAAAGCATAGTCAGATACAAACTCAAGAACAACTTGAAATTAAGCTTACTCTTTGTAGGATTGTGTGTATTTCTTTATTGGTATGAACTTTGTAGCCGAAGTCCTAGCCGAAGACGTATCGATCCTTTCGTGGGATATGAGTGCTATCCGTTGGATAAATCGGTTTATGACACTTACACTTTGACCCTACGAGCGTATCGCTTGACTTCTTTGCTTGTGATGGGAACATACTTGATCTCAAACATAATGTCTTCGTTACTCGTCTCTTGCTTCATGACCTCCCTTAGCTCAAACTTGAGGGGTAGCCCGCCAGTACGAAATGCTGAAGGAATGTCTATGGTTTTTGATCCGTCAGTTAGGCGATCGCTCATAGGAACTTCAGGATTGCGACGCTCTTCATTCGATTCGGACGGCGGTCGAGGCTCCATTGCGGTAGCTATTGAAGATGTATTTCTGCTCAGTTGCATTTAGCACCTGTAGAATCACTCGTGCATAGAAATTGCACCATTACCTTGAGTATTCTGATACAGCTGGGTGGGGGAGCTTTTACGGCCAGCTATCACAGGGAGTGGAGGCTGGAGGGAAACGTCTGCGGACGTCTTCGTGTCACGCCACCGCAGGATTCTTAAATCATGGTTGGGCACTTTGTTATGGTGACCTTTGCTTATCTGGTCACAGCATAAAAATCGGTTAGCGAGTTAGCTTAAACAGGAAAGCCCTCGTACCCTGACACTTTAATATGGTTTGGCGCCCAGTGGACCAGTGGCCTTGAGGTGTGATGGGTTCTATTCGGCACGGCAGCATTGCCTTGGTCCCTGGTGTATGCGGTTGACCACAATTGCAGGTCTGACGCTCATACTACAGGCTGCAGCTGCGTGGTCACCTTCTGTACGTTCTTTACAAATTAATCTCATCCCTATACCACAGAAGAATGTCGTGACTATAGCAGAGAGTGTTCTGTGTTGTGTACCATATGGTCGAATGTTACCGGGCACCTTACCTTACATTATTTTTGAGTTCAGCGCTCTTCACGTACTAACGGGCCTCATGGGCTTTAATTGATGTTTGGTAAGTTATGAGGAAGCGAGTTGTCTCCATTAAGAATAATCATGTTCTGCACGACCTGTGACTATGTTCATTGCTGTATCACGCTGACGCCAATATTGGAAGATGTTACACCTTGCCTTTTATCACCTCACTCAACACTTACTGTCGTTACTGTTGAGAAGGTCCGTTAGCGCTAGTCATCAAATGTCCATCCAGATGTTCACTCGGCGTTAAGGACCCGCCAATATCGCCGTCCATTTTATACCGGACACAATAACGTGCGACTCTGTGTGTAAGTATATGGGTGAGACATTGCGAGCCTCATACTATGTGCATAAAGGTCGGGAACCCCACCAATGTTCCGGCCATGAGAAATGTAGCACAGCGTTGGAACGCTAGCATTGGTTCTACCGATATCTAGTAAAGACTGCCCGGCGAACCTTTGAATTGCAGAGTGTTAAAACTAGGCTCGGTTAGACCTAGGCGTACATGTAAGTGATTGACTCTACATGATGAAAACAGCGGCGTTACCCTCTCCTGCTCGTGGTACAAGCAAGTGAGGGAAAGTATGTGGCTGAGCCGCCTGTATAGTCCAATGATTCTATTCTGCTTCGGATCGCCGCATCAACATCGCCACAAGCTCGCCGCACCCGCGTCTCGCAGTGCCACTGGGATCCCGGATCCCGACACAGAGTCATCAGAGTGTGGAGCCACAGCTGTAGTAGATTTTAGTAGGAAACAAATACAGACAATGTAAAAAACTGGGGTGCCCTGCATCTTATCCCTTTGTTATGAATTGACATTTATCTCGCTCTCATATGCCGGAGCACAGGTTGGGGGAGCCTTATAAATTAAGCGGGGGAAAGGGCCGTTTGGAGATCCGCTGATAGTTGAATACTAGTAATAATATCGTACTACACGCATTCATTTGTCCGAATACTGGATAGAGTTTGGGAGAGTCGGAGCAACCTCAGGTGGGTAGGGGAATGCGGCCACGGGCTGTTGAGCGATACGTTGATAACCAGAAAGTTCTGCGAGAGAATAGTTCACCAATCGTCCGCATCAGTGTTCAGGTATCCTCGGCGACTCAATGCAAATGCCGAACCTTTGAATAGGGCCCGCTTCTCCCGCTTCTCCTTATAGTACATGCGTACCATTATCAGCAGTGCTGCCAATATGATGCCGCCAATGATGCTTCCAACGACGGTTCCTGCAAGCGCTCCCGACGACAAATGCTTTGACGACTCGGGAGAGGAAGCGGACGCTTTTAGTGGCCCGTTAGTTGGTACCAGTAAATAGGCTAGTAGGAGGAACATACACATATATTGCAGATAGTCAAACCAAAACGTAGATGGTCCTGCATCGGTGTGGTTGATTACCAAAGTGTGCTGCCCACTCTCGAGAATGTCCGACTGGAAGACTGGATAGTGGTACGATTGCGAAGAGACGTTGAGTGATGTGAAGCTCGCCGGCTGGCCACCGTCAATAGTGAACTCGATGACAGGGAAGCCCCAGCCGCCTGGAGCTCCTGTTGACGCGTAAACACCAATCCATGAACCTGATAATTGGAGGAGAGGATTGAAGAGGGCGGATGTGAGCGCTAAAGGTTTAAAGGAAATGTGGCATAGACAAGCACACCAATGAATGTGAATGTTGCTGTGTCGCCCTGGTTGTGTGACCCGCTTGTCGTGGTATCGTATTCGGGGTAGATGCCTCCAGTGGTCCAATTTCCCTGGTACTGGATCGCGTAGGCGTGGCCGTCGACTACAACTAGGGAAGGTATGGGTCGGGTTAGATGATGGTGAAGACACAGTGGACAAGAAACTAAGGGACGAGGAGTTACATGTCTAAGGCGCACATGTACCTTTATCCTGCCGTAAAAATACCTTCATTACGTTCTGTTACGTTTGATGTACATCAGGACGGCATCGTACAAAAAAATGGCCCTCATTGGGTCACGAAACACTCCATAACATGACATTGTTAAGAATGATACCTTTGGAGGTTGATTGATCCTGAACAATCCGCTCAGATGGAAACCGAAAGGTTTTGTGCCTCCTCACAGCGGGAGCGAGTCAAGGGATGTGGACGAACGGAGGCGAAGTGTGGGAATCTCAGCTCTCGGGTACACACAACTTGGTTTCCGGTGCTTGTGCCGCAAATTAAGCGGCTGATCAATTCCAGGTTTTCGCTACATATGTATATCCTGCAGGGAAGCTAAACCCACCAAGAATTACTTTCACGGAGGGGACCTCACCAAGGACAACGCGGTCATCCATCTCAAGACTCGGTCGGGGAAGCCTACGGTCTGGGTCAGGCCTTCGCGTCGGTGAGTATTTTGTTTAGCTTAAGGATACAGTGTAAGCGATCGATTATGCAGAATGCTACGAATGCAGAATCCATCGCCCTAAGACATGGTGTCCACATCTGGGCTATACATACCGGGCCCGGGAAAATTTCCGGAGTGTTACGTATTATTGGTATCGACGACATCCAAAATAGTAGGACAGATACAAAAGTAGACACGAATAATGTTATAGGGCAGGAATATAAGACGAAAACCATGATAAGGGTATGCGTAATTAACGTCGTGCTCGTGGTGGTATATAAGGAGTAAATGCAGAAGAGATGGGAGCATAGCACTCGTGCTTGTGTAGAGAACCGGTGATTACCACTGGCCAGCAGTCGATGAATCGTGATGGTCTGCGTAAGAGCTCGAGAGACTGTGAGATGTGTCGAACGGAGAGAAATGTCGCCGTTTACGAGTAGATATCACAAGCGGAGGCGTCGAAGGAGGCGAAGGAGGCGAAGGAGCAAGGCACCTAAAAAGCGGAGAAGCAGGAGGAGAGGGTATCACCGAGCATGAAGACTCTGGGCTGGACCACAAAGTGTTGGTGCTTGCGTGGATGTCAAAACTGTTTCCCATGGCATCGGCCGGGTTCGAGTCGCCAAATTTGGTGAAGGAGAGTGCCTCATAGCGTGAACGTTCACGTTTACTCGTGCTTGAATCGCCCAAGCTAGGTAGTGGGGAGGACCTCAGAAGCGGAGAGCCCAGACGACTGGGAGTTATAGTCCCTTTAGCCCACGCGTCATCTTTCGATCGACGGAGCCTTCGATAAGGAGAGCTGATGATGTCCTCAATCGTGAAGGAGCCTTCGGGCGGCGATTCGTAGCCTACCGGCCAGACAGCAGGGGAAGCAGAGCTGGCAGGAGGCGATGGGGAGCCCGTAGGCGTGCTGGATTTGGAGCTAGAAGATCGAGAGAGAGATCTTGTACGATGCCTTCGATACGGAGAGTTGACGATGTCCTCGATGGTGAAAGAGCCCTCGGGCGGATCGGAGCGGCCCGTGGGCCATGGTTCTGGGGAGACAGGAGTACGCGGAGAATCGGGAGGCGTGCTGGTGTCTGAGAGTCGAGACTGGGGTCTGGCTGTAGCATGCGATTTGCCACCGTAGGACACTTCTTCAGACGCGGAAAGAAGCTCCGGAACATTTGAGAACCTCGGCGTGACTGCGAGAGTTACCTGAGAGTGTTCCTCGGCCTGATAGATGGTGTAGACATCAGTGGCGGAAGATCAATGAGAAGGCCGGATGTAGACGTACCTCGACTTCCGATGTCATCCCCATCCTCATGAGCCTCCTCAAAATACGGGAAGAATAAGGATCCCAGCAAACCTCCCAAGCTGAACGAGCAGAAAGACACACGCCAGATACAAGTGCAAGAAAGATAGCCGCCCCAATGCCGAAGGATAACAGGAAGAGTACTACAATGCTAGCCAAGGCTTGAACGAAGGTGGCATATAAAGATGCAGCACGAATAATACAGCGGACATGGATGGCAAGAAGAGAGCACAAAACAGCCATGAACGCAGAGGCGACACGAGTGAGGGAGCGAAGTATAGCCATGGGTGATGCAGATGTAGAGATTGGTGTATATGTGTGGGTGGTGCAGAGGTGGGTGTAGGACTGGAGAGGACAGCGATGGGTGTGAAGGTTGGGAAGAGAGAGGAATGAGAGAAAGAGCTTGCTCGAGGGCGGCTTTTATGTAGTCCTGGCCACGCTGGAGGCTGGCATGTCTTGAATTGGCCCGGGAGGCTGACATGGTCGGCCGAGCTCTGTACTTGTTCGAATATGGACCAATCTACCTGCTTCACATCGTTGCAATGACGAAGCATAGTAAGGAGAAAGCGGAGGAGGAAACTCGGCGTGTTGATGATGGCACGAAAGAGGGAAAGATAGACGCGGCGGGCGCTTGTTCGCTGTAGCGAGCGCTTGTCTCTATTTGCACCAGCCCCTATTTACACTAATACACCACTAATGTCCAAATCAACGACTACGACCTCTGTCCCATTCACCAAATACAAACTCAGCACCCCATCTGCTCCGTCCTCCCCTACTCTCAGCCTATGCCTATCGAACAGTGGCTCAGCGACGCATCCACTTGCAGTATACCACACCGCCGTCCAATCTTGATATCCTTCCGCTGCCGTACTCCGCAGAATTGTCAGTGCGCTTGAGTTCGCCGCGTTATCTGGCAATATTGCCAGCAGAGTATCGGGTGATGTGGGTAGTGTAACAAGCTTGCCGCGTTTGCCGATATACGTGGGCGTGCCAGTGATATTGCCGCTCCCTGGGATGCTGGGTGGGATAGCGGCCCGAGTCCAGAAGGTGTTTGTGTCGCGCCAGTAGTGATACCTAGTTCGTCCAATCGTGGCCGATGAGGAAGATAAGTTCTATCACATCAAGGATGATGGCGGACCAAAGCTCGGTTCCCGTTGTGTTCTCCCTATTCAGGACATGCATACGCCCTACATCGTCAATTATCTGGGCCTCCTGGTTCAAAATCCCGCTGGACAACGTCACCAGATCGATTACACGAATAGATTGAATGCCAGCATACCTGTCTTTAGGGATCGAAAAGACCGTTACGCCTGCAGACTCTGGCAATATAGGCTGCTGAGCGCTCGTGTTGGCTATTTGCTGACCCCAGTTGTTGTACCAGGTAAATCCGTGGTCCGTGCTGTAAGCATACACGAGATCATGATTCTGTGGAGATCGTTGACCCAGCTTCATCTATAGACGACGGTAGACTTACATTTCCTGGCCCATTGGGTCCAGCTTCAACAGCGACCGCTGCGCCATCCGCAGGAACATAATCACGATATGTCCTATACGGCCGTTTGTAAGTGGGTTGGGACTATGCAACAATGAGAGCGTATTCACCAAGTGGCTACTAGCCTTCCCCAAGGATCATAGTCAATCCCGTTGATGTATCCATTGTCTGTGAGGAATCCCATATATTGTAAGCCAGTATGGCCTTAATTTGACAGACAACCTACTGTTGACTCCTTCCAGGTACATGCCAGTCAATTGCCACCCCTTGCTGGGGACGTAGCGATATAGCCAATCGTTCCCGAGCCCAGACTCTCCCGTACGCATCTCCAGAAGCAGATCTGCTCCAGAGCCATCGGTAGCGGCAGTAGGTATGTTGACGAAGCGAGGGTAGGTGATATTGATGTAGTATATGTCTTCTTCCAGTGATTCAAGGCCGGGTAAGTAGCTCTAATGTTATATCGCGCATACAAGCACGAATCAAGCGCTAGAAGTCAAAAGATGTGCGGAGACGCACTGTTATTGGTCCGAAGATGTCTGAGGACCAGGCGACACCGGTCGGATTGGTCGCTACTCCGGGCTCGGAGATACGGTAGTTGAGATTGTTGTCGTGCTGGTCGAAGGACATATGAAGCGTCCCGTCACCTTGAGAAATGCCCAGCGAGATGCTATCCAAATTATTATGAGGTGCGTATCTCTCAGAAGCCTGAGTATGTGGGAACTCACATATCATGCCCATCGTCCGAAGTCTGATTGTAGTCCTGCATCACAAAGGTCTCCCAGTCTCCTTCCTGGGGCGTGATAGCACGCCGAGAGACAGACGCGTGCCTCACAGACACGTTGATGGTATCCGGAACCCAGAACACAGCGTACTGATAGCCGTTGAAAGACGTCAACGCGTTTTGTTGAAACGATTCGCCGTTAAGACGGTTTACAGTCTGAGGGTCGGGGCCGAGAATAGTGGAGTTGAGGAATAGCACAGAGCCTCCAAGCACCCGCGGTAGAAGTGACAAAACGAAAACAAGATTCAGCAGAGAAAGCATGACTGAGGCGAAGGAAAGAAACCAGAGTGGGCATTCTTTCGAATTTGGGGTCTTGGATGGTCATAGAGCCTTCATGGGAGTCTCTGGGTATACCAGTGATCCGCTGAGGTGGTCACGAGTCCTTGAAGTTCATGCGCGAGTCGCTTGTGACCACGTCTAACGGTGCGAGGGCCCGTCGTATGCCGGCAGCTAAGTCAAGGATTAATTCATTGGAAAAAGCAACCCGGCATTATCCGGGTTCATGCTAGTCACTGTAGTGGGTAAGTTGTAAGAACGAGTTGGTGTGGAATTAAAGGTGAGAGGTAAAGGCGAGTTTGTCATCGGAAGCAAAAGGGCCGTTAATTAGAGCCGTTGACACTGCCGCGGCAAGCGTCGGGGGTTGCCGTCGTCGCCTCCTCTGGTCTCTCCTGTTCGTCAGCGCGTCAGCGTCAACAGTGCAGCTTATCCCTACTCCCACTTCTCCCCTCGCTTTCGTCCTCGCAATCATCATGACTCTCTCACTTAGTCTCGGCACCCCCGTGAATACGGCTCTCCTCGCCTACATCCTCTACTCCGTCCAGAAGCTCGTCTTCCCCTCCGCATCAGCACCCAAGAAACTCCCTACCGAGTTCAAGAATGGGTACTCATGGATGCCCAAGTCGCATCCACCAACTGTCCTCTTCCAGACATACACCCCCAAGACGCTCCAGAAGTATAACGGCATTGACGACCCACGCATCATGCTCTCTATCAACGGCATTGTGTTCGACGTAACTGCAGGTCGCAACTTCTATGGCCCGAGTACGTCTCAATCACTGTCTCTTGTAACGCGGAGGTAGCTCATAGGCTGGTAAAGACGGAATGTATGGAAACTTTGCTGGCCATGATGCCTCGCGAGGGATGGCTAAGCAGTCGTTTGACATTGGTGCGTTCGCCAGTTACTCTCCGCATATACTCAGCTCACCCCTACCTTTCAGAGATGCTCACGCCTATCGACCAACCTCTTGACAAGCTGCAGGATCTCCGCCCCGACGAAATGTAAGCACCGTTGTTGTATCCTCGAAAGCACTGCTCCTCACCAAGCATTCCTATCCCCTACAGCGAAAACATGAGAGGTTCGTTGTCACGTTAGCTCAAATATTTTGCAGTTTTTCACTTTGGGTTTGCAGGATGGATCGAGCACTTTTCAAACAAGTACATCGTCTGCGGAAGGCTCGTCGATAATGATGCTATCTGAGCATACCGCCTAAACCCATAGACTCCTGCATATCTGCTTGTATTATGCCATAGCTCTGCGTAATCTCTTTCTGATTCCTTGACCTGACTATCAATGACCTTTCTCGTGAAGCTTTACAACAACGCCATCTATAGCGTTCGGAATCTTGCACTGGACATCCAGCTGTCGTCTGACCTGAGCTACTGAGTCATCACCGCCACCACATCCGTTTACTAGTGAGTTGGGGGCCAGAGGTCCAACTCTCAAGGCATCCTCCGTCAGTAAACCGTAATCACCGAGGACACGGACTTTGGCATCTCCGCGTTGACAGGCGATCAACGTCAACTATGGTTGACTTCGCTTCCACAACAGTAATCATAACATCTCGTTACCATCTTTCTCGGACTGACGTTTGCCGATACGCTCCTCATCGGCCGGTTCGAACTTCGACAACTCAACGTATGGATAGGTTCATTAGCTTGCGTATCATATGTGGTGTATTAGACTCACGGCTGTCAAGCTTTTCGGGTGCAGCTACACAGCGTCTTCCGGCGACATGTCGAATGTCACATTCCCGACGCCCTCTGCGAGGATAAAGAAGAGGGCCATAATCTTCGTCCTGACCATCGACACTCGGAATAAACCACCCACTTTAAGACCACAGCCAACTTTTTGCACCCTCTTCTTTGTCGCTATGGTTATCGAAGGCCTTCCTCCTCGTGACGTCACCTGCTTTCTCAGCTACTTCGTTGACCAAAACCCATACTTCTACGTCGCCGACCCTTCCGAAGGCGTTCCTCGAACGACCCTCGATGAGAACTTGAAGCCATGCGATGATACCATTCACGACGCACGCGGCAAAAAGGACTCACTCTCACTCGATACCACGGGCTTCGCGTCCATTCGCTGGTCCAGCATGAAGAAGACCTTCGGAGATGAGGAGGCTATCAAGAGTTGATATTATGAGATTCGTCCAAGGACGCGACGAGTCCTGCGTACGCGCCGCATAGGCAGTCGATCGAAGTTAGGGCTTTGGTGCTTGACCTTGAGTGAGCCGGTGAAGGGAGGTAGGCTAGAGACTGCTTGCTACATTGTGCATGTTTCAATCATACTAATAATGTAAAGAACAAAGTTAGATGAGATTTTATGATGTCCGCGTGTCCCCAAGATGACATTGGACAGGAGAACACATGCCAACCACAAGGGAAGTTGCGAATCAAAATCAGTAATGGAAGCCTAGCGTGTACTTGGAAAGTGGTGGCATCATGCAAATTCCGTGTCCTAGTATGCTGATCTTCAGCAGCCCCATACTGCACTGGCACTCGTTTGACGAGGGTAACATGTGCTGGTGCTCCACTTTTGGATATCACTTTTGGATACTCTCATACCTCGAGAAAAACAACCCGACCTTTGACACATCCGTTGATTGGTTCGCGTTTCTCCAGATACCTATACCGCACTTGATTATCCACTGAAACTTCCCACAGCGCTCTCTGGACGTGATGAACAAAAGGATAGCGTTTAATTTTAGTAGTGCTACCTTTCTTACAAGTAGCTTTCTCGGCAACATGCAAGTACGAAACACTTCCGCTTGTAGACTCCGTCCATGCCCTCTTTGATAATTGTCGACGACGTAGCTGCCGACATTATGTACACGGGGAATTGGTCCCAAGGGGGCAGATTCCCAGAGTATCACAACACTACCCATGGAACTGCTTCTCAGGGCGATACCGCCACTTTTAACTTTACTGGTACGAAGCAGGTTCTCGGAAAGATGTGTCGGACTTATCATTCCTCTTTGAAAAGGCACCTGGATTTCCGTCTATGTATCCATGGGTGATACAGACATCTGGGGCATTCCCAGCTTAGAGTTCGCCGTCGATGGCGGCGAGCCAGAAAGTTATACCTCGATAAACATTTCTGCAGGACAGTCATGGCACTGGCAAGCGTTCTCGTCTGATATCCTGGACGAGCGCGAGCATACTTTGGTGATCAACCATACAGACGCTGGACCATCCACACTTTGGCTGGACTTCCTGGAATATCTCCGTGAGTAATCACTCCCTTCGTCATTAGAATGCTCTCATCCGGAACTCTCATTTTAGCTTCATCGTCGGCTTCGTCGCCAGCTCCTCCCTCCGAGTCGGCACCAACGGCAGCGTCCGAGCATTTATCCAAAGGATCGCTTGCAGGTGTCATTGTAGGCAGTGTAGCCGGCACGATAATTATTTTAGTTTTGCTCGCGGTCTCTCCGTATCATTAAGCACATCCTCGGCTTTTACTTGTACATGTTTGTCTTACTCCACTTTTGTTCTCATCATGTCTCAACCCTACCTCTCACCAAATCACCGTCTATTCAATCCATGGCTCTTCAGCGACCCCGTCATTCATATTCTGTCCCGAACATGCCCCGATTACGCATGATATCTTCTTACTACCCCACTGTTCATGTTAGCGACAACAATCTCAACATTCTTGCAGTTTCCGTCTCTCCACTGACCCACCTTGAATCCTTGCGTCATGGCTGCACCACCATTCATTCCTGCTCAATGATACTCAAAGGGGTTTTCACCTCCGTGCTCTCTGATAAGTGGCTCATTACGCCGCCCCACACTTTCTAGATATGTCCCTTTTACTATATTGAGAATACACGCTGTGTTTGATATTTAAACACTCCCCACTGCTGTTCCGAAGCCTCACTACCAGTGAGCCTTGGAGCGTCGCCATGACCTTAGGCTACGCCTCACAGTAAATACTGTAGTGTCAAGTCGACCATAGCACTCAGGGTCTCATCATTCATGAGTGCTCTCCACCCGAGGCACCGTCCAACAGTGACACCATTGTTGAAGTTGAATATTGAGCCCCGGAGTATTAGCATGTGTGAAATAGCACTCAAGATAGACAGTGAGCTCATGACACTTCAGTCACCCCCTTTCTAGACCCCTCATAGGGTTGTTTTCCCCACCCAAATTTTGACCCTGTAAGGGGTCTACCAAGCTGTAATATCCTCATTTCCATGGTTATTCAAGCATTTTGGGGTGAATGTGCTCTTATACGAGTAGCATAAGTTTGAGTTTCTCAAAAGCATGGCTGGGGTGTCCTGGGACGGGTTTGGATATCCAAGCACTTCCATACAAAGACCATACATGGATATCCACTGCGTGGTTTCTCCAGGGGTGTCAGGGGTCCTTGGCTACATAAATCTGGGTTTTGGCTCTAATATCGTCAATCCATACACCCTGCACGGCACCCTGCGTACGGCGGCATTACACCCTGCATGGTGCCCTGCGTACAGCGGCATTACACCCTGCATGGCACCCTGCGTACAGCAGCATTACACCCTGCATGGCACCCTGCGTACAGTGGCATTACACCCCACACAGCACCCTGCATACGGTGGCATTACACCCAGCACAGCAATCTGCATATTGGCAGCAGGATAATAACTGGCTGCCACTCCACTATATCTCAACTATTGTTTACTAAGGTTCCACGGGGTTATCCAACCATACAGTTTTACTTAGTACAGTGTTGTACTAGCTTGGACCATTCACTTGAATATCCATAGGGTGTAACTAGTATAATAATATGCTTGTTCAAACATTGCATCACATTGCATTTTCAATGTTGTGCAAATAAGCTGTAGGGATGTCCATCTGCACATGGACATCCAAATGCACTCTCACACACTCCCATCATAGCCAGTTGGATATCCAAATTCACTCTCACACTCTCCCATCATAGCCAGTTGGATATCCACATGCACAATCAACCTCTCCCCAGATGGCCAATGAGATATCCAAATGGCGGAAGGGACTTCCATGCACAATATTATTGGCCTCAAAGTAAGCTAACTGGACATCCATGTGCACATGGACATCCATATCTACTCTCCTGCTCTCCCATGAAAGCCCATGGGATATCCATGTAGACTATCAAATTCCGCCCAGATGGATATTGGGACATTCAAGTTGGGGCTAGGGCATCCATTTGCACTTGGACATCCATAGGTGCTCTTGGAAACTCTCATAAGGTTGTTATTGGGATATCCATGTGCAAGGACGGACATCCATACACATTCTCAAAGACTCTTGAGATAACCACTTGGATATCCACAGGCAAATGAAAATCCACCTGTATGTCTACCT